AACCATAATGTCTACATCTGGTGAAGGAACGTTTTAATATTGTTTTTCCATCTATCTCTACCTCCCATTCTCTCTTTTCTCTTCGAGGTGTGTTTCGATCTTCTTCTATTTCTATCATTTGGATACCACTCAAGAATGGTGTTTGGTAGCCTATCATCGTGCATTCATTTAGAATGTCCAAACCAGGTTAATTACTTATATTTAATGAAATAAAGTATAAAATGGTATTATTTTGTTCATTTTTTCGTATTTTTACGTTTATTTTGTCCTTTACTGCAAATTGTGCAGCTCTTTTTAAAAAAAATCATCTCCATTGCCAGTAGTTTATTCCTTAAGTTTTGAAGGATTTAATTTGGAAGTTTGGGCTCTATATGTCAATACCCTTTGTACCACTGTTTTATAAATAATGTAAATTTTATAACTTGGCCTCTTTTATAAATTTATAATATTGTTACAGAAAAATAGGCCTTTCGCTGTTTTCCGATTGCTTGGTTGTGGGGAAAGGTTTCCAGCTGTCTAAAGTTAGCCCAACCACAATCGGTCACCACAAAAGCATATTTCACCATTTAGAACTATTTAATTGCTAATTTAGAGCCCCTGCACACGAGCGATGCGTTGATGTGAGTCACATAACGCAAGTCGTAGAATAACACTGTGTCTTACGTGAAACGACACACGAGCGCTTTGGCCGTTCGGTGTATAGTACTGGGTTAAATCTATGACGCGCGTTACTTATCGAGCGTCGACGCAACGCTCGTGTGACACAGGCCTTGGAGCGCAAAACTTATTTACATTTTCCTTAACATTTGTGAAAAATAATACTCTGATAAAGAAAATCCCTATGTTGTCTTGTGCAAAGCACCTCTCGTAATAGAATTTAGGAATCATGTGACAAAGGAACACATTACCAGAAAACATATCATTAAACTCCCATAACTTCAGCTTTATTAACAATATTTATAGTGTCTACAATTTCTACAGATTATGTGAATATACAACATTTTTAAACAAAACATTTTTACAATGAATGTTTTACGTAAACATTTCTCTATTCAGAGGCGTGACACGTTTTTGTTATTGTCGTGACCAGCCTTGGTAACTATCAAAATATACTTGAGAAATATTTGGAATTGTCCTGCATTTTCACATTAACGTTCATGGAATCAACAATCTGGCAATAACATCTAAAGGCAAGAATTTATTTGAAAAAATAGTATAACAAATAAATCTATTCTTAATGTACAGAGTTGTGATAGCAAACATTTGTTAAAAGGAATAATAGTTAAAGATTTAATTAACCTGGTGAATGAAGAGAACACTTAACTTCTCATTATTAAAAATAATATTGTGTGTAATATTTTTCACCATTAGTCAAATGCAGGGACCGGTGCTAGAGAATGTCCCTCTCACTCATCGCCGCGCGGAATGTGCCGCGTTCTGTGCATGCGCAACTGGAATATTCCGAAGCTAAGAACATTTCTCTCCGATCTCTCTCAACCCTTTTCTTTATTACGAGACGGCGTGACGGTCAATGTTTTCAGTTCGTCGCGTAGAGCAAGATGGTTCGTATTTTGCGCTAAATCGCCTGGGGCATTCCCTAGGGCCGGTCCCTTTACACGCATTTCTGAATTTTGAGCGTACTTCTATGTTCGAAAGATAGGAGAAAATATTACGGCCTTAAGTTGATGGATTTTTGTCGGCGCGTTATTTGGACGCAGAAGCATTTATATGAGTAGACTAACGAACTTCCGAAGGGTATATGTCCGTACCGCACGAGTACTACAAGGCCTTGTGCGACCATGACTGCCAAACGTGCGTTACAGAAGAAATGGGTTATGGCGCTTCATGGCACTTCTGATACACAAATCCATACTAGACTAGTTGAAGTGTATGGTTCGGTTGTGATTTCGATGCTAATGGTTACTCGATCGTGTGACAAATTCTGTGGCAATTGAACATTGTGTTTCGGTTGCTGGTGAATTGAACAGAGGTATTGAATTCCGTAATTGTGTTTCGAATTACTCCATAAAAGTGGATATTAACAAATCCGTGAATACTCTTTCCGGACACGTCACCTTAAAGGCTATATTGTTTGTGATATTTTGTACTATGTATTATTCTTTTTTATTCTGTCAGAGATGAAGTATTCAATATCGTATCCGGCGTGCCAAAAACACAAATGTGCGTTTTGTTAGTTTTGATGAATACTAACTAAACTTAGAAGTAAAGTGGAACGTGTAAAACTACATTTTTGAAAAGTAGTTAATGTTAATATTTGTGCCGTTTAACTGAAAAAATACTACTGGCAGACCTGCAAAAATTATTTGTAGGGGGCACTTTCTCCACTGCGCGAAAATTAATGATGCTGTGTGTGGCGAATGTCAAAACAGGGGCTTTCAATTTAACGGGACAAAGAAGTGTAAGTTTATGAAAATTGCCTAATTTGGTACATACACTGGAATAAACTTTTTGACGTGAAGCCTTGTTTTGATAATGAAAAAATAAACATAATTTCTACTTTTACAGAAACGAAACTCACTGTAATTAACAAAAGTATAAAGATACATTTGCGCCCTGACACAACATCAATGCCAGCCAATCTCTTAGCACAAAATCTCAATTTTGGTATAAGTGTGATTTTGGCAAACGGGTGACAATATATAACTAGAGGATAAACATCTCATAAAATAGTATTTTCAAAAATAAAAACAATGAAAATGTAACAATATCATATACAGCATTGCTCACGAAATTGTTAAAATCGAAATCAATAACAATAGGAGCAAAGGCGCCCTGTGGAGGGTTCAGTCGATGTCGAGCTTCTTGAATGAGCCTTCGACGCCGAAGAGGTCTCCAGCGCTGCGGCGCGCGCCCGGACCTCCTCGACTCCTCCACCCGGCGCTGGCTCTCGGCGGCGAGTAGGGGGGCGTTGGCCAGCAGGCGCGGCAGCGTCCGCCTCTGGCAACACAGAGGCACACGTCCCACAACACCAGAGCAAGGGGCGAGCGACGGAGGGCAGGTTACACGGAGGCAAATTTGGATGGGAAATAGAGGGCGTTTGGCCAGCAGGGCGGCAGCGTCGCTTCTGGCAAACAGCAGCCGACGGTCAACACACAGGCAAGGGGCCGAGGCGACGGAACAGGGTTATGAAGGAGGCATTGGATGGGAAGTAGGGGCGTTGGCCATAGGCGCGGCAGCGTTCGCTCTGCAAGAGCAGCACACGTCAACACACAGGGCAAGGGGCGAGGCAGCGGACAGGTTAAAGGAGGCATTGGATGGAAAGCAGGCGGCAGCGTCCGCTCTGCAACAGCAGCGCACGTCCAACACACAGGGCAATGGGCGAGGCGGCAGAGGACAGGTTAAAGGAGGCATTGGATGGGAAATAGGGGGCGTTGGCCAGCAGGCGTGGCAGCGTCCATTCTGCAACAGCAGCACACGTCAACCCACAGGGAAAGGGGCGAGGCAGAGGAAGAAACAATAATGAACAGCACACGTTCAACTCATGGGTAGGGCAGCTGAAAATATTTTAAAGAATTCATGCTCACAACACCATTGATAGTACATGAGGGCAAATGTCACTCATAAGGATCCATGGCAATTCCATTAATTTCCTGGAAATCCAAGAAAAGTATCAGGATGAAAAGTTCCTTTTCAGGTAAAAAAAGGTATACGTTACGATCACTGCAGAAAAGGAGTGTAGGTACTCACTGTGTATTGATATAAATGACGGTGCAGCACCACCGTAGTCCTCAGTTAGATTCTCCTTGGGAACGAACTTGTAGAAACTTTCCATACCTTCTGCGTGAATATGTAACTGTGTGCGCAGAAAATGAAATGTTGGTATTAAATTTAAAAATGATAAACAATTAATAGGCAAATACTATTATAAAAAATATAATTTTTGAGTCGATTTATTGTGTTTTACATTCTAATACCTACTTAAATGATGAAGTCATTAAGGGATAAATACTGAAAATTATAATGGAAATATGGGAAAACCGAAGGAAATATTTAACGAAAAGTATATTTCCGCATATTATTTTATCGGATATTTGTAATAAACCACTGTTTTTAATCAACAGTGCAAGTGAATATGTGAAATAAGATTATCTCGTACAAGACTCAAAAAAATTCCAAACGTCTTAATATAAATCAATGCATTAGCCTGCAAAAGGAGAAACATAATCAGAGAATGAGGAGGAAAAATTGATCATTCTGACCATCGAAAAATGTTAAACAGTTAATGGAAGATAAAAATCTTAAAAAAAGGAAAACATTATAAGTTAACTATCTTCAGTGTTTCAGCGTGAGTCTTACCACATCCAAGATTTCCTTCTTCAGGAAAGGCCTGATAATGGCCATAATCTTGTCTAACAAGGGGACCACGTTGATGAAATGTAGTCCCTTGAGACGAAATGGCAGAGCATCCTGCAAGATGGGAAAGCGGAATTTCAGTTATTAATGCATGCCCACATACATTATGAAATAAGTGTATGTAAACTATTATTTAAGAGAAATTTTATAAAAGTTTACAAAAAGTTTCACACATAATAATTGTACTATTGTATAAATACAATTACATGACTTTTGTCGTTTTAATTCAGCGCATGACTGTTCTGTTTCGTTGAGGTTTTTGATTATGTCGCTTTACGACATTCGTCGACCCACTCATTTCGGCTTCCGTAAACCTTCCCTTGTCGCGGGTTCTTCGTATATTCTCGACCCCTTCCCCAACGTCTTTCCAAATTTAAATTTTACGTTTGATGAGGTCCTTCCCCTATTTGGCTAGCAGAGATGTGCCACAGGCCCATTTCAGAAAGTTATGAAGTTGTAACGCAACTGTAACGCAACCAAAGCACCCGTAAATCCATTTCCGCTGCTCATAGACGGTTCCGGAGAAGAGTACCTAAGTCTACTTTAGGAAGGACCGGGATTCGACAGGTGGGTAAGGGAGTCACGACACAACCCACTCTGTGTATGTTTGGCGGGATTCGATCCCACAACCCGGATGTAACGCTTATTTTGGCGCAAATGACCTAAGCCACACGCCGGACAGGTATGGAAAGATGGCGGCTAGACAGAGCTAGAATCAATTCAGCCGCTGACTAGTGGAAACGTCCATAGGCTAGCTGCTCTAATTAGCTTCTATGATTTCTTCTCTCAGTACCAGATGATTGTCGGAACAGTACCTTAACAAACGGGCATGAACCGCAGGTCATATTTCCTTCCTCGCTCTCGGCTCTCCTCACCCCTACACACACTCCTATATGCCCTACACTTCTACACTTGTCGGGAACATGGAGCTTGTTCCGGTTTCCGACTTTCACAAGTTGACATGTAGGTCATCCCCGGATCTCAATTTAGGGGGGCAAAGGACTGCATCATCTTCGGGAGTATGAGATACGTTAGAGTTGCGGAAGAATGACCAGTATTTGACGCGCAATTGATTAGCAGCTGATGCGTCAGGAAACAGTACCTAATAATCAATCAATCAATCAATCAATCAAAGATGTAGGATGTGATTGTATCTTAGGGTATTTTGAAACCTCTCACTTTGCCCGGGTTCTAGAACTTAAAAATAGTTTATTCCCAATTTTTAGTATCAGAGAACTGACAGGGTCTGCCACTGAGGTAGGCGAAAGCGCGTTACCTGCAGGTAGTAGAAAAACTTCTTGAACACGAGCGGCCCCAGGCGCGTGACGTGCCCGAAGGTGACGTTCGTCATGTCAAACACGATCACGTGACCCGGCGCCGAGCCCTCGGACAGCAGCCACAGGTCGGTCACCATCAAGAACACTTTCGTAGCGTCTACGTGCACGAAGTTGGAGGGGTCCGGGTCGACGAACCGGGCCACGATGACTTTGTGGCCCTCGGGCGTGGGCTTGGACAGCGTCACGAACCCTCTGGAACCAATTTCGCGTCTTCCTTACAGACGGAGAATGTGGCGAAAATCTGCAGGTGAGAGCTCCTCTCCAGAAAGACAATTGACACCAATAATGCTATTTTAGACATAGATATTTAAGAATATTTTACTATGGTTTTGTATCACTTTAAAAAAAGTGTGAATTGATTTTCCTAATTTATTACAAGAAAGGAGTCAAAAAGACTAATTTGAACTTCTTAAATCTCATATTCTCCTCTTTTACATGTGTTAGTAGAATTTAAAAATTGATTGTTTTGCCTGTTTAGTTACATCAAACATTTATATGTTAAGTTATTTTTTTGTTTTTTATTGCTAATTTCTTTCATCTCTGTACGTATTTAAAACACCAAGGCTTTTCGTTTAGAAACCAATTTGAGTATTCTACTCTACCAAATTACGTAATGTTTGCTATAAATGAAAGGCAATTGACCCCAGATTTGATATCGCTTGGTATTATTAACCGTTTTTTAAAAATAAATAATAAAGTTTAATAATTTCTTGAAATTATTAGAATGCTGGCGTATTTGCCGTCATTTGTTCATTATTTTGTTACGCAAATTGCAATCGATCATCACATGGCGTAGACACGTCTGTGAGCGCGTGGTAATAGTTACATTTACAAACACCATGGTAAAATTCACATTACATCAGAAAGTGGATATCTTGTTCACAATGAGGGCTCTACGATTTGAAATACCAGGTATTCATTAAATTTTGGGCCCCTATAAAGCTTTTAATACAGAATTTTCTTACTACATAGTAACTAACTAAAAGTAATTTCTTGTTCGTTGAAGCATCTATTAATGGTTTGGCACAAAAGCAATAGCCGTTGGAAGGCAAATAATATATTTAAATGTTTTTTTATTTTCAAATCAGTGGAGTGAACAGTCGACACAAGTTGTCTACAATTTCCGTCAAATTTTGGCAGCTTTTCACGTGAGAATTAATAAAGAGTTCAATTGACAAAATGTCTCAAATTTCCTTTATTAAAATGCAATAATTCATAAAAAATATAATAAAATATCTCTTAAACATTAACAATAATTTTAATTTAGTCAATAAAATATTAATTGCAATGTATTTTATTAATGAATACATAGATAATATCTCCAAATGCTAAAAAAATAATTTTATGTGTTTTGCGTGTATAAGTATTTGAATAACGAGTTAAACAATTAAAATTTTAGCAGTTTTCGTAGTCAGTAATTCTATCTGCCCACTAGTTCCTACACCTCTCAATTGTTTTTGCCATTAGTTGAGGTAATTGCTATTGCGAGTCATGAGAGGTTTAGTGATAATATTATTTGCGGATAACTCAACTACAAATTGCAATTTGTAATTATCCATTGCATCAAAATTGTGTCGATTTAAACTTAACTATCGAAATTATAGTTTGTTGCTAAAAAGTTGCGCAACCATTTTTTGTGTATCTCAATTATTCATAGATAAGTAAGAAATATGAAGAAGTGTTATCCGCATTATTTATGGAAGTCAGCAAGGCGTGAACGGGTCTATCCGGGTAGTCGTGATCGCTAAGACAGTAGTGCCGTAGCCATCTCGGACCGAAGGATCGTGGGTTCGAATCCCGTCTCGAGCACGGTCGTCTGTGTTTCGTGTTGGGGGAGGGGCATCCAGCCGTAAAAAGCGCCAAATCAGAATAGAAATGGAGAAATGGGGAATATTAACAAAAATGAGCCCATTAGCATTGGCCACCATAAAAACGGGAAAAGGCAACGATGAAGAAAGAAAAAAGGGAATGAGGTGTACGTGTAAGATTATAAATACATTAACGATTACGAAGAGAGCCTCTAAGCACCACAATACTTACACGACCTTAGCAGCCAATTGCACTTCCGGTTTGGTTGCATCTCGGTGAGCAAAAAACTCAGGCAGATGCGTGCGTGCTGTGAAGTAAGTGTCCGCTGTAACCTTGGCCGCCTCCACTCTGTAGTAGCAGCTGTGCAGAAACAGCACCAGCTCACGATCTAGGCACAGATGACGAGAGATGTGAGAAACGAATAGTATCTCTCTAAGCAAAATTAAAGTGTGATAGAGATTTGGAAGTGCAGGCGATTAATACGATAATAATTTTGTATTGAATCCAAATTTGTAAAATCAGGTGGAATTTGATAGTGATGGTTGAATCCAATGGCATCACGGAGAGAAGAAACTTACTTTTCAAAACCTTTGGAACCATACTAATATGGATATCTTTACAAACGTAGTGGTGCTAAAACAGTACTTACTTTCTAACATCATGATCACGTTTGCAATTTTTGAAAATTTGGAGTTCAACGAAAATGAGACCTGTGCCTTTTAATTCTTTTACATTAAAGAACATCTATATACAATCCTGTAAGTGTGCTTTTGATCGACAAGGAATTAACTACCCCCTCCCACCGGCCTGCATCTGACATTTTTAGACACAATCTTGTAGGTTTGCGGATTATTTAATTTACGCTATCCGAGAAAAAAAGTTTAATTAAAAACAATTCAGTAATTTTTTGAGAGTTTTAAAATGCTGAGGGTTAACGTACAGTGCTCCCAAAAAACTTGAGAGACTCGAGTCGGTGTAGATCGATGGGAGAATATTTTTGAAGAAAATCGTCTGACCTGTTTGTGCGGCAGCGTATTAACTTGAAACAGATGGGTGGGGTATAGACGTATCCGAGTTTGGAGTGTGTCTTGCTGCCTACCTGTTGCAGAAAAATGTAAGTAAAATCTAGTACAATATTCCTGGAGGACATAATCTTCAATACTGAATGCATTTCCAAACGGAAAAGCAGAAGTCATCGCGCTAAGGAGACAGACAGCGCAATCACAACTGAGTGGAAAAACCCGAGCGGTTAACGTAAGTTGACACGACTCCTGATTTGTCTATTCTAGATTACTTTTCCTGAGGAAATTTTGAGCGCATATCGCTTTGCAGTGAAGCCGAACTACGTACAGTCTTGAATTCCAATGCAGAGCCTCCTTAAATCCGTGACATTTATAACTTCAATCGCTGGGGTAGTACTAATTTTTCGTTCGGATGTTTCAACACGTTTTATGATTTGTAATTGCTCTGATTTTTGAAGTGCAGATGAGTTGCATTAAAACAGTTTCCGACTTATATCCTAAAATAGACAGTAATGAATAACAAGGAATCCATCTTAAGATATGTAGTGTAAGAAGAATAAATTGCCTCAAATAGGGGCAATGATATAAATAAATATAAATAAATATAAATTTGACAGTACAACAACGATTAATGAATTGGCTTAATTCAATATGTTTTCGTAATTTTAAGTTCAAACGGAAAATATTTCAAATTATTAATGTTGTCGCAATGTTGTAAAATTAATTTAACTTTCTGTAATCAATTTCAATGAGAAACATCATTCAGAGGCTTTACATAAATATAGGTATTTTTGAATGATGTCTTATAGCTGTTTGCGAATACATTATCATATTGGCTCTAAAACTCGCCGTTTTCTAATGTGAAACGCTATCTTTAAATTCGCGCAAAACAGGATTTAGCTCAAGTGCACTTCACATTTATTACGTTTTGGTCTTTTATGCTTCGCATATGAAAACGAAATTGATGCCTATATTCAAGTATTCATCACAATCGCCACGATCATCTGATTTTGTTTCTACAGAGTGTGATTGAATTTCAATTCACGCAGAATTAAAAACACATATTAACACAAGTTCAACTGAATGACTACGTAAGAGATATATCAAAGAATCTTCAAGGGATCGAGGAGTGGGGAGAAAAAACACAGATTGAGAGAATATTGTGGAAGGCAGGCAGCGAGTTATTAAAAAAAAATAGTTTGTGGTATCATAGCATAGTGTTTAAGCAATCGAGCTCCATTTTCTTTAAAGCCAACTCGATTTTATCTCTAAAAACAATTTTTGAGGAACATTTTAGTGAGGAGCATAAGGAGGGTTTCAACCAGAACATAAAATATTACGTGTTACATTAAATCGATGTTTAGAATCGTAATCAGAAAAAACACATACATTGACATCACCCATCTGAAATAAAAGTCATAAATTAATTATTTTAGTTACAGCTGCTTTGTTACAGTTCTCACTGGGCCGGTAAGAACATTACTCTCTTTACGCAGAATTTGTAAAAAGTGAAAATATCTTAATGAGAAACATAACTGATCACATTCAGAACTGTGTACTACATCATAAGTACACCGGTACTGTGTGTGTGTGCGTAAACAGTCTAATATTGTTAAGCGTTTTTTAGTGAATGTTACTTATATTTGCATGATTCAATTGTACAGAAAATGAAATGTACAATTTAATTTTACACAAATTTCGAGATTCTGCATGTTTGTGTTATCTCATGCTATTGAGTGGGGTACCCGAAAGAAAAAAAACTAAAATAGTAATAGAAAATCAAGAAAATAAAAGAGTCATCTCTATCAAATTAATATTAAGTTGACGGAGATGACATTTTTTATTTCTTTGTGTGAAAACGTCAACAACACCTCATCAGAATTCCCACAAGTGATAGAAGATCCAAAAATAATTGAAGGATTCGACCATTTGTGGATTCGACCCGAGGGTTATAATTTTTTACTCCCTGTGAGGAATGAAAACGGGATTTTAAGACCTTAGAATGCACATCGTATTTTGATTTACGCACGATGGTGCGTGTTGCAACTTGCATTTGCAACCGCTGAATCCTTCAGAGCATTCTCTTCAAAATTCCAAGTGTTTCGTCTTAAATATTTTTATTATTGACATTTGGGGGTAATAGCCCATTTAGTCAAAGTTCATTTCTTGATACTTAATAAATAAAACAAAACAATCATCTTCCTGTATTGTACTTTATATGACATGAGGGGTTTACGTTGAAAACCAGCTCAATTCGTTATTTATGAAAAGTTACTTTCATGAATTTCTGGTACTTTTTGTGTGTTCTTAATAACTTCTCAAAAGCTACAGTACAATTTAGCTTATTCCACCCAAAATGTGATGAAAACATTGCTCCTACTCTTTATACCACGTGGGGACGTGATATTTATTTCTTATATAATATCTTCGTGAAAGAAATGAACGGGTTTTGAACGTAAATGCTTCTAATCGCAGTAATTTACTTACAATGTAAGAAAGTGCATGTTTCCATGACTAGACCGGAGCGTCCCACAAGGCTGACAGGTCGAGAATACGGATTTCGACTTGTCATGGAAAGCCACTTTTGCCACGCGATGAACACTTTATTTGAGACCTCAGTTTTATGATGCTTTATCCATGTGATACACACATTTAATTGGCGTTGCAAGAACATTCTCGGTATTGTTTGTTCGGGAATTGGTAGATACTTTCTTTTCTAAGTGTTGACTGACGTTGAATGTGAACTGAGAAGGATTGTCTATGGGGGAAAAACAAAGAGTTCGATAATTTATTTGACTCACTGATAGTGGAACAAGCTAACTGCAAGGTGTCAAGACATCTAGAAAACTAATTTTGAAAAAGAAATGTAATTATCTTTTTTGCAATTGAAGAAATTGCAGAGGCATAGCCTTTGTTACGGAGACTGTGCTCCTAGAGACGAAAAATTCAAGCCTTTGACTATGTTGTCGCACTTTCCGATGCTGAAAGTTTGCTTTAGTGTTAATGAAAATAGTGAATGAAGAATGAATAAGCCGGTTTTTAATCAAGAAACAAATATTTATATTAAAATTTCTTAAAAGGTTGTAGGTTAAATGATGTCAGTAGCTACGTGCTGACAACGGATATAACGTTGAACTGAGTGTTGAAATAATACGTTTAAATTCGTTCCTGTTGTAAAGAGTACCAAAAGTACGTTCAGTACAAGTACTTCCGGGACGTTTGCAGGTTGGAGTAGGAAAAAAGTTTAACTTTCACGTCCGAAGTATGCGTCGCTTGCTAGACAGTTTTGAAAAAAAAATGGTTATCACTAACTTAGTATTTCTTTTGTTCTCATATACAGATGAATGAGATGAAGATGAAGTCACGTGACCTTACCGAGCACTTTGGGCAGATGGGGCTGCTTGTCGGCCCAGTCGCGCAGCAGGGCGAGGTCGGTCTCTTTCATGTCCGGGTTTCGCTTCAGCTCCTCGCCGAGAGAGATCGCCCGGAGCGGGGCCTCTTTTTCTTCCTCTTTCACCACCAGCGGCGCCATTTTGCTGAGCTTGCCTGCAAAAGTAGGGCTAACTTCACTTTCATTTTCTATGATCTTATTGGATTACTTGCGTAGCGTTGCGTCTCAGACATACTTTCACGTTGACATTTTTTATGTGCTATGCAGGTTAATAATACAAATAAAATTAAAAATAAAATGAAGTTGCATGGCTTGTACATCCTTGGGTACAAAAGAGTTACAAGAAAATGTGTTGATAGAAGTAGTTTAAAAAAATGTTTCATACGTTCATTGTCATTCGTCAAGTTTCAAATATCTTTGATTTATTTCATATATTAACCATAAGTCTTCGCTGAGTATTCTTATTAATTTTTCAAAACGTAAAAAAGCTTACCTCTTAAGCTCCTGATCTACGGAGTCATTGTAATTAGAAAACAAAAAAAAAATGTTTAAAGTGCAGATCCTTTTTAATTATATTTGTAGCTAAAAAAAGCGTATTAATTTTTTTCTTAAACTCATTTCTATGTAGTTTTTTTTATAGAAATACTGCCTTACTTTGGCTAAATTTGCTATTGACTGGCAACTTTGTTTTTCGAGGGTTTTTATCCAGCCAACAGACGGTTACGCTTTACAACAGACTGGGGCACACACTAACACCAACCAACACACTTGTGGACTCCTCTATTCTGGGTCAGCAGAACGGGAGGCCCTCCGCGACAACACCATACATGAGAGACAAGGGACAAACAATCAGGCCCAAGGCGGGGCTCGAACCCGCGACCCTTGGGACGGAAGCGCTCTTAGCCACCTCGGCCACACAGGTCGGCGTCAACTTTCTCTGCTTCATATTCTAGATGCACAACCTGTCCTTTTTGCATTGTTTACCTGATAAGATCGAACGCGGATGGGAGAATTGTGTCTAATGATGTTAGTTCGTGACGAATGAGAGAGTATGGGCCGCTAGCTCGGCTGTCCTTGGCCTCGCTGCCTTCCAGGGACAATGACAGTAATTGTTTCTGCCCGTCCGCTTGCGCTACTACGGGTCGTTTTTACGCCCCTCCCATCGCTTCCGCTCCGGAGTATACTACACCCGCCATTTTCCCATCGCTTTTAGAACAAGAAACATGTGGTTAACTTTGGATTTGCTGAGCCAAGCGACTCAAACCTGCATTTTGATTTAATGTGCCCTTCAGAGAAGTGGACTTACGTAACATCATTTCATTCGCTTGACAATGGATGAATGAACACGACGGACCTAGTTACAGAAACATTGATTGCATTTTTTATGTGAAACACATCTGTAAACATGCGTGAACTGAATTAGAACTCACGGAAACTCCGGAAGCAAGAGTGGCAATAAACTTTTGGCAGTAAAATGGAAACAATGACTCATGTACGTTTATGTAAATTATAACAAGCAACGATTTTAAACTATCATATGGAGTACGCAGAGATGATTGAACTCTACAGTTCCAAAGCGGAATGTGGAGTTCTATTTGTAACTTATTTTGCATAGTTTCTTGTTAACACATCTGTCTGTGATGAATCTGAACAAACGATCCTTTTATTACACTTCGAGAATTAGTTTTCTAAAGTGTCTGACCGCATAAGAGGATGCAGTAATACTAATAAACATAATAAAATTACCACAAAAATTCAGCGAGTTTAACGTCATTGAACATTAGGGGGTCCGATATTTTCCGACGAAATTTTTTAAACTTATACCCGGTAAATATTTTGGAACTTCACTCAAACAAGCCTCGCAAAATACTGATGCGACATCGATAACATAACATAGAGGCTAGAAAACATGGATGTTAGCAAACATCGATGTTAAAAATTAAAACATCGATATTACAAATACATCGACTTAAAACCATCGATGTTTTTCAACATCGATGTTTTCAAGCTACGATTCGCCGCGACCGCTAGACATTCGACCCTTTGGAATGACGAGATTCCAACTAATATTTCAGTCCTTTCGAGTAAACAGATGTCAAATTTTTATATGTGCACTATTTAGACATCTCTCCATTACAGTAGTGATTTTTACAGAACATATTTATCCACAGATTGTCGCACGAGTGAACTACTTGAAGCAGAAATCAGATAGAATCTCATCATACTAGCAACTCATTGTCTTAGATTTGTCGATTGGAAAATTGTCATTTTAAAGTATCAATATAACTGTGGGTGCTCCCAATCTAACGACTCGAGAAATAGTTTAGTTCACTTATGATTCTCTTTGCCAACATTTGTCTTGCAACAGTTGAATTAAAGTGTTCAGTTATGCCACGCAAATTACGCATTGTCCAAGAACGCGTGTTTTTTTTATTCGAAGTCGTAATATTTCAAATAAATGAACATGAATCGCCGACAAACAGACAAATACTTTCTGTTTTCATCTTATGGAAGGTAAAAGTAAATGTCAGTGAAGATGATAACCTAGTAATTTGGGATAGAGAGTCCAGTAATATTTCGGGAAAAGGCGAGAATTCCGATAAGATAACTTCGTAATTGCGAAAAGAAATTGACGTTTATCTTACATGGAAAATAGCAAAAAATATTTTTCTGATATCTGAAAATTATTCGGTTATTGCATATGCCGAAGCTCTCCAAATTATCAAAGTCGAAGAAGAACATTTTATACTCTACCAGAGGGAAGAGGATACTTGTATGAAGAAGTTAGTAAACTCGCCAAAAAGGAGTAAAGATCAAGCAAATTAAAATTAGGAGAGAAAAAGCAAATTTCACTTGAAACTGTCATGGAAGACGTTATCTGATTGTCGAAAAGAAACATTGAAATAGGTGCAGAATTTCAAACTGGGATATTCTACGTCCTACACTAAATAGTTTAGTAAAAGCCAAAAGTATTAAACGTTGAATTTCAACAAACTATATATTAAGCGGGGGTGACAGTGATAACTACTACAAAAATGATTTATTACAGCATTCGTCAATGATTATCAAAAACTCTCAAATGATTCACATTTGACCTTAATCATTAAATATTCATAGTCTTTTATTCCATCAAACAAAAAAGAAAAAAATTGTCACATTCAAACGTCAATATAGCAAGTGTGTTTCAAAATGAACTTTAATTCAAATTGAATGACTGATTGATTTTTGAATGGGTTATTGCGTTATCTATATCCTGAGTAAACATGGAATTTTTCATGATTATACGTATCTTATTCGGGGGGTTGTGGTTTGCTCTTTTCGTTCAAGTTACAATCCCATTTTCAACATACATACACATTTCATTGCATTCGAAGGCGATATTACATACCACGCTGATTTGTTGTTGTTGCTGCTGCCACCTTACCTAAGTACGGTCCGAGAGCTGTAGAAGAGGGTGCTAAATCCGCAATATAATTACTGAACCTATTTTTAATCACAACTGACAAAACTTTTGAAACTGTGTCCCGACCACCCCTCACTTTGGTGAACTGGCTTTTTCCTTGCTCCCAGGCTTTCTCCATCGTCGAATTTTCGTCATGTCTCCAGTCACGTCTTTCGTTAGAATTAAGCAAGACCTCATTCGTGAACGACTGTAATTTTGTGAAAAACTGTAGTAACACCAAGTCGAAGCAATGACAAACGATCACAGCTCTCCCTGTATGGTTTTTAATTTCGCAGGAATCTATGTAGTTGCCATTTTTTCGATTCTAACAAATTAAACACATGTCACTATTGCATCATCACATCAGATAACGATTAATTTTAGGAATTGGCATCTATATTTACCAATACCAAAACGAACCGAAAATATTCTGTAGCGAGTGTGAATAAGTGCCCTGCAACAGTGAAATTTTAGAGCTGCAATTTAGTACTCGAAGTTAAGAAGACAGAACAGTTTGGACGGAAAACAACACGTCTTTTGTAGTCTGGAAACTAGTTCTTAGTCAATTCCTTATTTCAACGTAAACTAATTCTCATACAACAATGTCAGGTCGTTTCCTAAAAAAAAATAGTTAATGTGTTATGCTTACACTGTAGGAAGTATCAATCGTATCTCCTTCCTTTCATATGATAACTTGGATATACTTTCACTCACACAAAAGGAGTCATATTTTTTTCAAATGAATTAGACTTGTTTGCTTTGTCACTCAAGACAATGTTATTCTCATCTACAGTGTGTTCGTAGATGCTCTTGTAATTGTAATTCAGAGAAATGTTGCATTTTATTTTTAAATTTGTGTTTCTCCCTGCTCAGCTTTGCGAGCTATTTTTTCAGGTTTGTGACTGCATTGCATTGTAAAAATATACCGTTCTTAAATTTACCATTTTTTATAAAAATATTTTTTGAAAAATATATTATTGGCTTGTGAATCTTTACAAAAACACTAAAATCTCAACGTATGAGTTGTAAATTGAACATATAAATTAAATTACTTCCATGGTTAAATCGATTTTAATTACAGTGCAAATGTCTTAAGCGTTATTTAATAGCTCCAGCCAAAAATTGACTCTTGAGACTACTTAACCAAAATAATGGTCTTAATAGAAGGGCGCAGAGTCGAGAAATTTGCAGGATATCCTCACGGAACCGAACAAACAAACCAGACTTGAAGATGGTATTCTCATCTCCAAATTAGTGCCTGCCAATGCCAAGTATGTGTAATAGAATCTTTTTTTCCTCCAAGTGATAGCAGAAGCACTTGGTCACAATATCTGAGAGCTTTATTATTAAAACAAAATATTATATTCATCAAATATAGCTAACAATACGAAGAGAACTAGTTGAATTTTTGAAATCTGCCTTAGAAAACATCCTCCGAATTCTTATTGTTCATTGGGACGGAAAACTGTTACCAGAACTAAATTTCAGATAATCTAAAGAAGAAAAGCATCTTGTCTCATTCTCATCATTGTAGAAATTTGCAGTAGGGCTGTCTGACGATCTTAAAATTTGATTCGCGAGCTCCTCGAGACCTTCAGGCACGCCCGGCGGACTATTTGGGTATGGTTGGTAGCTATATCTACACGAGAAATTCCGAGTTGTAAAATACGCACTCGGAATTTCAGATGAGAGAAATATTTCATAAACGCTAAATTCCAGAAATTAACGAAGTTTCTCGGTATTTCAGCGACTTAAATCGTTTATGTGGTCAACTATGTTGCAAGATCGGCTCAACAGTATTGCTAGTTCGCAAGTTTACAGCGACATGACTGACCAAATTGGTTTTCAAAAATTGTTGAAGAAGTATATATTTAATAAATGCAAAGCGCAGCGCAGATTTGGAAAACAATGAACTGTGCCGAAGTTACATAAAATGAATGTGAGAACATTTTGATGACAAACATGAGAATTTGAAAATTTCTGTTTTGTTTTCCTTTGTGTGCATTTTCGAGACAAGATGAAGGGAACTACCTGGTCAACTTTCCATTGGGACACAACACCAATCGTCGGTTCTGCGTTAAAGGGGCCCGTAGAAGGAAAGCACGAGTTAGCAACTCATAAAAAATATCGTGCAATGGGTGAAGTGAAAGTATCATTGTTCTCTTAAGAGATATTAATTAAAATCGTATGAGGCTACCGAAAACAGAAATGATTTCCCAGCGAAGTCGAAACTCCGGAGTGCACTGTTCGAAGAGAAGACACCTGACGCTTCCCGTCTCAGGAACACTATACGACTTCCTATTATAATACAGCTCAAAATCGCTGACCTCTTAATAAAACGTAATATACTTGGAGGTGACAGCTTAATCCTGGTGGCCATTGATAAGGTTTTAATGTATTCATATAGTTTGAGACAGACGTAGTACAATTTTCGAATAATATATTGGATCTATGTAATATTGTATGTGTATTATGATATACTACAAATCCAGTGGCATGCGATTATATAACGATATATAGAATATAGATTAAATACCAATGGACAAGTGCGCTGATATAGGAGAAAATGTAATGTTAAGAAACGAACGCAAAATTTTAATGACAGTTAACTCGAAAAACAGATGCACCATCGGTAGAGGTTAACAAGTGGGATTTAGCTGACGAACGTAAAAATTGTGCTTCCCGTTATGGAACGCACTTTCTTACGAACTAGATTGTCGGTTGTATATACTCTTTGCCCTTCCTCACGCACTTTAACCAGGTTTGACTTTGTTTACGCCTTACGGAGTAACTCGAGCTACAATAGTCTATTTTAATTACGTGATGAACGCGAAACGATGGATCCTCCAAGATGGAGGCAGAGAACAGCCAATTTCTCCAAATATGAATTAAAGGCTGTCTCGGTGGCTCAGAGCAAAGTCGCTCGCCTTTCACGAAGGAGGTCTGGGTTTGATTCCCGGACAATCTCATGTGAAATTTGTTCTAACAAAACGAGTTCGACTGTTTGACACAGGGTAGCTCAACCCTACTCTTACACCAATTTTGGCCGCCGGGTAGCGACGCACGGGGCGCGTAGTAGGAGGCGCGTATGCGGAGATGCTACGGCAGTGCTCTTGACAACTGACTGCGACGAGACGTGACAAAGACAGATAATGTTAATGGAGAATTACAGCAAGTGCACAAATTAATGGAGATAACTCCTAGTGCAAAAGCGTTCAACGCCCCTCCCCCTCGAAGGTGCTTGGATACGCAACAAATTATATAAGAGAGATTTATTTATTCTGCTGTAGCTGGTGTAAAAACTATAAATTAATGTTAAATGCGCCTGCATCTTAAAGCAGTTACAGGAAACTAACATCTCACTCAATTTCTCAACCAAAAGCAGCACCGCACTTTCGGTTAAACGAAATCTTTTTAAAATTACTTTTCGCTGAAGTCATTGAAAATATCACCTCTAACCACCACAATTGTCTTTTGGATTCTTTGATGATAGAAATAATCATAATACAACATTTCGAAGAATTCACGATCGTCACAAGCCGTTCTTGCAAATCCACTACTAACTCCTTTTAAAACAACAAACGAGCCCAAAATGCCCAATTAAAGTTAACGGCAGCTAATACATATTGAACGAGCTACAAAATTTGGTGCATCAGAAATCTGAGATCACGGCCGTTAACACTGAACGTGAGTTAATTTTTTCCAATGTTGGAGCACTTGGCTATAAGTAAATACTAACTACAGTGACATGATACGAAAAACAATAAAAACAGCAACAAGACAAAAACCTTTAATTTTATAAATCTAAAAATCAAATCAATACGGAAAAAGGAACTTTTTCCATCACGTTTTCACCATTTATTTGAAAGTACTAGAGAAGATTATCTTTGAACAGAAGAGTTACACGTGCAGACGTTTACATAACCTTTCATTAAAAAAAATATTCTGCGTGTTCATTATCTCAGCGTAACAGGAATGCGGTTATCTCATAATTGAAGAAATGTGCGTCCTGCTATCGCTTAATAACTGCTTTGAATTTACGATGTCTCGGAAAGACATGTTACCCACACACAATACGACACGCACGGTCTCTGGAATGCAGAAACCAAGTCGTAAAGATTAATTACTGACGTCTTCATTGCCTTTCTGCCTATCTTTATGCCATTTCCCCAGACCATATTCCATTCCCTCCACTAAGTAGGGAAATTCCTTGACGTAAACTACGCACTCAGGGAAATAAAGCAAAAATGTGGAGTAAAAAAAGCTCTGAAGTCTATTGTTTCGGGAATACCACCCCGTAATATCTCAATTACACCACCTCAAAACATCAGAGTATGTATTCCATTTTCATGTCACCACATTCCCATGTCCATCACAGCAGCACTGTATAGAATTAACAAATGAAAAGTTATGTATGTAAATATAAGACGTGAAGAAATAAAAGAAGGGATAGATTATTCTTTTCACTGTAAATATTGCGATATAAAAGTACTAACATTTTTTAATTATACCATTTGATAATTCTTTGTAGTGAGATTTGAATGGTTCATTCGAGTAGAGAACAAAATGCTCCCTCTATTAGTACAGAGAACTTTCCCTCACCTTGCTGACTGACCGGTGGGTTGCGTTTCAAACTTCGACAACTTTCTCCGGCTCTTTCACAAATGTCTTGAAACAGGATTTTCTAATACGTGCTCATATTGCTTCAACTCGCCCAAACACACGTTATGATGATAGTGCAACAATGAGTATCATAATCGGAACACTCGATTTTTCAGAATGTGTTTTGAATGGCTTTTTTGTTTGTACATTTTGTATTTTCCTATCACCGTTGGTCTACTTTTCATCGTTGAAGTTTGAAACATTTTGTTCCTTCAAAAACTTTATGATCTTACTTATTCTCTTATCCCTTAGCCTCTTATTCATTGGACCTTGATAATCTTACTATACACTTTACCTATCGGTTTCGACGAAAAAAAAACAGCAGCAATCAAACGCAATCTCGACTACTCAAAACAAGAATTATTTCACGCATTTAATATAAAAATATCGAAAAGGACGCAGTACGGCTGGCCATTCCAGACAATATAAATGTTATTCAGCAACAACGAACAATTATTTTAAAATTATACTCTACCGCCTTTGGACATGATATTTTCATTGGACATACGGTATTGTTTCTTGGTGAGGGGTGAATGAATGTTGTGGAAAACAAAGCAAGTTCGAATATGAGAGAACATGAATCGAATGTCCGCCAATTAATCCGTAGGCAAATGGTTATACATGATTCTTGAAAATCTTTCTAAAGATCATCCCCATTACGTTTTCTATTTCGTCATTCAGATTTAAAGATTTATCTCGTGAATATTTTTACACATACAAGAGATAAATATCTATATTTTTAAACTAGTAATTTTCAGTGCGCGCAGAAACATAAAGTAAACTACGTAGCCTCTGGCCACATAATAGGTGTATACAGTTTCGTTAGATACTTAGAAACTCGGAAACAATCCAAAAATCATCAAACACTTTCCATTTGGACATGAAAACGCAAATACGTATATTATTGTAGTATTTCGCCTATTCTCTTCCCGGTTTGGGGCACACATTAATTGTTCGCTTTCCTTGCAATGCCCCAGTATCTGTTGCTCAGTAACGATGAGAAAGCTCACTTCTTAGGTAGAGAAAATCAGAAATATAGCGTATGGATGGCTAAGTGCTAACCCCTTAATCCATAGACGTAAGACCGGGACACCGTTGGTAGGCCTTAACTCGTAAAGAACCGTTGTGCCAAAGTAGGTACGTACATAAATTTCGCCTAATCTCATTCTGATCTTACCGACTGAATTATTATACTCGGCGCCTCACCTTAACAACCGGGCTAAAGACCGCGCGCGATCTTTCCTTCCTCTTCCTTGTGCTACTTTCGCCCCTTTCTTAAGCACACGAGCACTGCACTACCACACATGTCGCGAGACCAATCGGGAGCTTAAAGCTAGTCGTGTGTGTGTGGGGGGGGGCGGTCCCCGCTGGAGGGAGACACCTGGTTGGGGAAACCCCGCAAGCTGACGTGTAGGTCGGAGGCGGATCTCACAATCCATGGGGGGGGAGAAAGATCACTACCGCCTCCCGTGATGAAAACATGTACCTCAATTACGTGACTAATGACCTTGGTCCATGTCGCGCCCGGAATCACTAATCAATCAATCATCTTCAAGCGTTAGATTTCGGGTGGGCGCGGGGCTCAGATGCCGGAGGCGGCACAAACTCA